CCGCTGCACCGCGTCCGGCGCGGCGACGCTTGCGCACTGCGCAGGGCCCAGCGGGGAAGGTGTTTCTCAAGCCCCGCCCCTTTCGCCCTTCCCTCCTGCGCTCCACCCCCCGCCTCTGAGGGCGTTGCCGTTGCGAGCGCCTCCCTCCGTGATGACCATGGTATTTCCCCTGCCAGGCAAGCATAGGACTGCCATCAAGGAGAAGCCACCATCAAGGTGTGAAGTGTGGAGGCCCAGCACTGGGGGTTGGCGGTCCAGACAGGGCAGGGAAGCCTACCTGGGAAAGCCTTCGCTTGCCTCAGCCCCGGCAGAGCCCCTGAGAGGACCCAGGGTATGCAGGGCAGGAGGAGGTTTGCTGCTGCCACCTTCACCTCACCGCGTTGCCTCGGGCCGCAGAAGCTGCCTCCGGTCCCAATCCAGAGCTGTGCTAGCAAAGCCCTGTGGGACAGCCCCCACCTAAATCCGAGCAGGGGTCCATTTTGATGAATGTCACCAGCTGTCTGCAAGTTTACAGCTGAGCTGTGAAAGACGAGGCGAAAGATGCTTTTTTTGAGTCTATAAAAAAATAAATTAAGACAGTATGAGCTTGACTGAGGCTGTTCACAAGTGTTGATTGACAGAGGACATCGGTATCACTTTTGGCCAAGCAGGTGCATGGTTCAGTGCCCTGCAGAGACCTGTGAGGGTTTTGTGGCCTACAGAAGCCTTCATAGACCCCTCCTCCCCAGCCATGTGCTGCTGCTGCTACATCACAGCTGCCTCCAGTGGCTGCCCACCTGGAAAGTAGAGAGGCTGTGCATTCCCAGGCCGTCTGAAGCACCAGGTGAGACAGGGAGAAAGGAAGTGCGGCTGGTATAGAGCTGCAGGGCCAGCAGGAGGAAGAGGCAACAGGTGGTATCCATTCCAGGACATGGGGAAACAAAGCTGGCAGCCAGCAGACAACATGGTGCAGGTTGTGGTCAGGGGTATCAGGGTGCGGAGGCATAGGGGCTTCTGGGGTGGGGACAGCTTAGTATAAAACTAGTTGCTTTCTAGTAAGACTTTATTCTGGGAAGGGGCTTGCTCCAGATTTTAAAAGTTGGCATTAAACCTTTAAATTACATATACCCATTACTGCTGTCCAGGGCCTGGCAGAAGGGTTACCTTTACATTTTGTAAAACACTTCAGTAAAAAAGTTTGCAGAGCGTTAGTAATAAAAAAAGAAAATTCTTGGGTCGGCAACCATAGATGAAATGAAAAAAATGTAATGGATCACTCTTTGCAGTGCACAAAGCAGAGAGATCCCCATCTTGGTAATGCTGGAAGAAAAACGGGCATTTATTTCATTAGGAAAGAATGAAATAAATGCAGGCATGCACACAGGAATCAGAATTTATGGTAGAAGTGACCCTAATCTGCATATAAAATTAACCGTTTCAGACAGGAGTTTTTACCATACCTTCAACTCTCCTATGAAATATGAGCTTTTATTTCTACCCAGGAGAACTTGTACAATCTTTTTTCCTATGCCTGAAGAAAGGTGCATGTGCCCAAAAGCTTGCAATTAAAAACATTTTTTGCAAATATCTAGTTGGTCTAATAAAAGAGATCTCCTCTACTGTGAGTTCTGATTCCTTTTGCCTCTAGACCAATACGGTTACAAAACCTGGATACCTGACTACATGTGCGTGCGCATCCCACCCCCCAGCAGAATGGCATGTAAAAGTTGATGCATGTAAGTTTTGGGAGCTTGCTTTATCCCAACTTCCACTTTTAAGGTCAGCTTTCATGCTGTTATTTTTCTTAAAGCCTTAGCTCGTGTGCCAACAAGAAAATAGTAGGTTTTATGTTTTTTAAAAGTAAAATTTTTAGCCATCAGTTTCAGAGAATGGTTTGAAAATGTGAAATCCAAATACTCAAATGCTAGAAGGCAAGTGAAAAGAATTCACCATTTAAAAAATCGTATGATTTTTAAGTCAGCCCCTTAGAGTTGGCAGAACTCCATAGCCAAGGCTCCCAGTTTAAGATAGGGCATCTATTCAACGTTGCAGTTCGATGATTTCAATAGAGAGAGCTTTAAAAAAATTCCACAGAAGCTCAAACAAGAAATATATTTTGTGCTGTAAAAGTGGCAGTTGGTCAGTGATTAAAAAAGAACAAAATAAATCAACTTCTCACCTTACTTCTTTCTATATCGACTGACAATATTTATGTACGCCATCTTTTAGGTGCCATTCTCAGATTCTATATATGTTCTGCCATAAGTGTCTTGTCTAGGGCACAGGAACACTCCTATGATATGCTTGTGTAAACAGTTTCAACTATCTTTTACTGCCTCGGCAAATCATTTATTAAAGCCTTTATGAAAGCCTTGCTGAAGAGAAGAATAATAAAACACATATTATGTAATTTCATAATCCTGCCAACAGTGCTCGAAATAAACCACCCTCCAATAGTTTAAACACTTTTGATATGTTGCTATAGTAGTCTGAATGACTCCAAATCTATAAAGTCACTTGATGTTGGCACTTGAGACTCAGCTAGTACCAAATACTGATTTGTGTTCAAAATAATTTCATACAAGTGATCACCAATCTTCCACCAGTTAGTAACTACTTATGCACCACAGGAAAAAAATAGCTGTTGCTGCAACTATCAAAAACTCAGATGCTATAAATGTCTCACAGGAATACTTTTTCAACTAAATGTCATTGGTCTTCTGAAATATGACACGGGCCAAATTCAATCAAACTGTACCAAGAATATATTTGGCCCTTGGTCTCTAGATAATACATTGGAAAGAAGAGCGATGAGATGTCTGGACCTCATGTTTGACAAGGTCAGGTTTGTAGGCCTGCATAAATTGTCAGTGCACCCAAACTGGTTTAAAAAGCTTGGAGCTATATTATTTTTATTATAACAAAATAATCCACAGACTTCAGAAGGCTAGGGTAGTCACAGAACAAGTGCATTATCCTTTATTACAAAAGTCAACAAAACAATAAAATAAACTTAAAATATTAGGTTTGAACACAATAATAACTCGACCTTGGCTTTAGAGAGTTCCCAGAAGTAAAGCCACAAGTTGTCTAGAGAAACCTTATTCAGGTAAATACTCTACTAATTTATTTCTGATATTAAATTTCGTATTCCTGCTATATATCTCTGTATAAGGCTTGCAGAAAAAAAGATAAATCAAATAAATGTAAGAGTTAATGCTAGCTAGAAGGAAAGGGAATAAAGAGAAGAGAAGAAATACTGCCTAGAAAGTAGGCCCCTTAATAAATGAAAAGGAAGACCAAATTAACCATAATTCTAAACTGGTTGCGTTACTGAATGGCTTCTGTAATTTTTTTCCTTAACAAGGTAAATAAACAAAGGACTATAGGCAATTACAAAGGAATTAAGATTTTCCACATATAAACTATTTTTCAAATGAAATATTAATTGTGATAGATTACCTGCATCATACCTAGGAAGAAGTAATTTGATTGGCCTTGAATTCAAATTAATAGCATATAACTAAAAACTTGAGCTTATATAATGATCTTTTGAAGTCATTTATTATTTGTCAGGGTATTGTGAACTATATGCTGAACATAAAGGACCAAATTCAGCTATCTCCATGTAAATCCGTGTAGTCAGTAGAGTTAATTTATTTTTACGTTAGTACCACCAAAAAGCAGAATTTGGCCCACAAAACTGACTAGCACAAACAACAGCAACTGGGGCTAGTATATCCGTCTTTGCCATTTGGGTTTTTTATTTCAGTTCTGCCTCTGTAATCAATTGTTTTAAAAATGCTCCTGCTAAAAATGCTGGAATTTCTTTGCATCTCCATAAACATGAGTTGTATTCTGATACTGATTTCTTCTCTGCATCGTCAGTGGAAATTTACTTCAGATGTCACTGTTCTGAGTGTTAATTGTCCCTTACCAACCACAGAAACCTTAAAAGCTAAGGCTGATGAGAGGTAAGAGACTGTACAGCAAAGCAATGATTCCAGAAAGTCAGCATCCTATTAGCAAGTTATAACAAGAGACATTTTAAATGAAAGATTTCAGACTGAACTGCAGATTCCTGAAAAGAGCTACAACAGTCAACTTCTTGACTGACTGGCACCAAGTAATTAATAAAAAGCACAGGAAGACTCTCACCTCTTTTACTAAAAGTGTCAGTTCCTACAGTGGCCAAATTCTGCCCCCAGGTACAACTGTGCAACTTCATCTGGCACCATCTGTTCAAAAACTGCATGCCTAGCCATTTTGTGGTGCCTAATGTTTCACATACTGATGCTGTGAAATCCAATTAATTATTCTAATTTTAGCTTCTGATTTGTTTACCTTTTTAATTTTGATTTGGATTTATGGCTTTCTAATATTAGCATACATGTACACATGCAAGAAAACCAAATGAAACTGCTTTTTCTTAATTAAACAAAAATAAGGAGCCATTGTTTGATTAGCATTTGCCATGGAAATTTGCAAATCAGTCCATTTTTGCTGATACTCAAGATTTGTCATACACAGACCACTTTTAAATTTAATAAATCTCACTACTAATTGAATGGAACATTTTAATGAACGTATTATATTATCTTGGTCTATTAAGGATAGCTTTGTGGAAGTGCATGGAAGATTTTAGTGACCGTATATTATCTTGGTCTATTAAGGATAGATTTTTGGAAGTAAATATATTCTCTTAGATATTTCAAAACTTCTAGGGGCATCGCTAGCCTGCTCCT